AAACTCTTAACCACCACTGATCAGATATAGCACACACAGCTAAGAACATAGAATATTTGAATAAAAAAACCACTTCACATGTTTAACACTTACGTGTTTAATAAAAAATAAAAAGCACACTGGAAATTACAAAGGTGCTCCTTTTAGCAATTGCACAACAAGAATTTACAAGAACAGCAAATTTAAACATGTTAACCCTGAGTCTGTAGATATTCACTTGTTACAACACAGGCTCAACCAAACAGTGTGAATATTTATTTGGTGCGATTCATTTTGAGAAAAGCACTTCGTGCTAGTGTGACCAAATTGCTCGGTTGCGTTTCCCTCTAGTGAGGTCACCTGTGATACTGAACACTCTTTCTGCAAAAGATTGAGAAGCTGGCATTGCCAATATATCTAATGCTAATAGTTTCAGGCTGTGATAAAATGTGTCACATTTTCCAAGCCAAAACTCCATTCCCGTTTCACAAGTGATGGACTGTGAGAGCTCTTCCTTATACTGGCTTATCTGCTGTCTAACACTACACTTGGAAGATTTTGGTTTAGGCTTTGTTCCGAATTTGGAGAGAAACCTAAAGACTGGTTGTCTGGAGGAGGAGGCAGATGATGAAGAGGAGGCGGCGGCGGGTGGTGCTGGTTCAGGTCCATTCAGTTCCTCCAGATCAGAGTGGTTCTCCTGTGTCTGAGAGCACCGAACAACATACCCTTCTGCCTGCTTGAGCAGCTCCTGAATGTTATCATCAGCCACATTGAGGAGGGTCTGACACACTGTAGGATTGAGAAAGCAAGCAGCTGCTACAAGTGGGGAAAACTTGTCATCTGAGGGATCAAGTACCCAGGCAAAACGCTGGTTCACATTCCCTTCCATTTTACGTGCTAGAGCAGCAACATCTCGACTTGTGTTTTGTTCCACATCTGCCAGATGGCTGAGTAAATCAAAGAGAGCAGGGAGTATTAATGACATAGACATTGTGTCACTCTGAAGAGTTTGTGTGTGTTCAGCAAAAGGCTGCAAAAGTTCTTGCATTGACTTCAGCTTCTGCCACTCACTTGAGAGCAAGCAGTCCCATCCCATCTCATTTGCTACTTCACAAACAGATTCTTTAACTTTGAGGAGATGTGCAACCATTTCATAAGTACTTGACCAGCGTGTGGGGCAGTCATTCACAACAGTTAGGCCGCACTCATCCAAAATCTTCTGTGTTGCGACTGATGACTTGCGAAAAAGTTTCACAATTGATCGGACTTTGTTCAAGACTCTGTTGATGCTTTCCTCCTTGTTTATCATGTGGACAACAAGCTGCAGCGTATGGACGACACATGGCATCCTGTCCATGCCCATGTCCTGACACTGCAGGTTTTCTGTCACCTTGGAATCACTTTCACTTAGGATGGATGCATCTGGATCATCAGAGCTGGAATCTTCATCTTCTGGAGCACTATGTTTGAATGCTGCCACCATATTGCTACCATTGTCTGTTATTACGGTGAGAACTTTCTCATTTAGGATCCCCCATTCTTGCATGCACTTTTCCACACAAGCCTTAATGGACTGGGCAGTGTGTGGATGGTCAAGTTGTTCAAGAGCTAGCAGTAAGTGTTCTGGTTTTTGTTGTTCAACACAGAAAAAGCAGCAACTTATGCCAAGGAATGATGCTGTCAGTCCCTTTTTAGTCCACAAATCAGTCCCAATACATACTTTTCTGGCACTAGACAGTATTTTCTTAAATGTAGCTTTTTTGTTTTCATGGTGTTTTTCAATTAGATTACTTATCTTGGTTTTCTTTGCAACAGTAAACTTCTTATCCAAACTTTCCATCATCAGAATAAAATCCTCATCTTCTACTATTGTGACCGGCAATCTTGTACATCCAAACCATGTAGCGATAGCCTCTTCTTTAATTTGTTGTTCTTTGGCATCACTCTTGTACTTTGTTGTACTTGTAAATGCGTCCTCAATGTTCTGGTTGGACATTTTTGCCTTTTTGGTAGCTGGTTGGCCACCATCAGCAATGGTTTTCTGCAACTGCAAAAAAATAAAAATACACAATTAAAACATTGACTTTCTAACAATGACTTACCTGTTGCTTTTTGAGATTTCATACATTATATATATATATATATATATATATATATATATATATATATATACATGCATACATACACACATAAACATCTGTGCGGGCTCGGGACTCGGATCATATTAGTGCAAACCAGACATTGCGAAAATTATAAACAGCCAACAGCATGCTTCACTTTACTGGTCTAGTCCTGGTTTAGAGCGCACGTACAGCGAGCGGCTGCGACCCAAAAAGTACCAGAACCGCTCACGGTGCATGCGCAATCATGCATCAGCACTGCTCGCCCGCTATTTCCCTAATAACACACGTTATAGTCATGAAAATACGGTACTTCCGAATTTTTATCCCAACATGACAGAGTTGATACAGTTTTATGTGCCTGTATATTACTTTTCGGGTCATCACGTGTACAACATTTAAGTGGATTTACCTCGGAGAAAATGGCGAAGTGGCCATTCTGTAGATGCCTCTTCAGATTTGTTGTGTTCTTTCCTCGGAACGACAGTCCACACTCTCGGCATGTAGTTTTGGTAGCAATGTTATCATAAGAAAAATGACTCCACACATCTTCTCTTCTTTTTCGCCCAGCAGTTAACATTTTCCTCTACTCCTTCTTCTTATGCCGTCGATATATTCAGTGAGCTATGTTTAGCATACCGCGGCGCATACCTGCCCCTTTATACTATTCAGGGTCTGTCTTCTCTCACGTCGTCCCGCACGTTCAAGGCACGCCACGCCCCTTGTCTTCTACTACGTTCGCATCTCACAACAACACAGTAGTCGCACCGCACCATAGAGCGCCATGTAGAAGAGCGTCATCGAAGATTTTCGTCTCGTCTTTCATTCGTTGACTAAAAGTTTCAATCAATTTAATTATCGTCTTCATCTTTTTCCAAGCTTTTATTTTGAATTTTTGTTTCATTTTCGTCTGTAAATATATTTTCGTGACGAAAAAAAAGACGAAAATATTTTGTCAACAAAATTAACACTGGTAGCTATGGCAATCTATGGGCTTTTCAACAGCGTGAAGTCGGGCCTCCAAATCCGACACCCTCGCCTCCAAAGCTACAAAAATGCTTCATTTATTACACATACCATGATCACTAAAGGAGGCAGAGGAGTAACTAAACATCTGACACAAGAGAGCAAGAGATAGGAGACGGAGAAACAGAGACAGAAGTAGCCATAGCTGTGCTGAGGCTAAGCTAGTTGGACGAGCAACCCGTTCAACAACAGAAACTAGGTGGAACAACAGAAAATGTGTGTTTTAGCATGCTTATGTGCTACAATAACTCAGAGATGTCCTAGTACAGAGAAATCTGATCAATTTTAGCGAGCCACAAACACCCAACAGCTACACAGAGTGCAACACTGAAAACAGGAAAGGCCTTTCCGCAGATACTGCCACCACCGTGTGGTAGAGAGGCAAGTGGATTAGTTGATCGTGTGCTATATATACAGGTGGTAAACAAAGAGGAGGCATATTCTAAACTTGACACAGTGAGGTTGTGTGAGCCTGAGATGCTGAGAAATGCAAAGATGTTTGAAATCCCACCTGTTGGTGTGAAGTGTCCATTTGTGTGACCCTGATGTAGATTTTGGTAGACAGATGAGCAACAGTGACAGACACAAGTCTGACCAGAAAGAACGATGCATCCAGCAGACGCCACACCCGATCGCAGCTTTAAGAAAGCTGATGGCGGTCATTGCACAGCTGCACTGCAAGTAATCAGAACAGTGATTCCAGCAGCTGGAATTGCTACAGGGGTAGACGGAACAGCAGACCCAGGTCCTGCAAAACCTGGTGCCCAGGGTCATGGGCGCAACCACCGGGGGTGCTCATGGACCAGCTCTTGTCTTCCCCAAGACAAAGGAGGATGACTTCCGGTCAGTGGCTTTGACCACGGCCAATTCTTTCTAGCTAGCATCCGTGGTGCTGGAGATGCTTGATATAAATTTAAACCCACACACACACACACATGACAAGACACTCCAATAAGTTGAATATCCTTGCCTTGCAATCACAGCAGGACTCTCATCAGGCTATCTTCGCAACATTTGTGATCGACTTTTAGGAAAAAATAGGGTAATGTAATGTAATTGTAGCATTCAGTCAATATCGAGAAGGCCGGAACTGATGGTGAATGATGATTTATTGAGCCGTCCGTATCATCAACCAACCAACGTAAGAGCTAGGCATAAACAAAAAATAAATAAATCATAAAATAAACCATAATGCATAACTGATTACATTGGTAGTCGTTTTCACAATTAATACAATCATATAGACACGTTCCGTTTTCATAACAACATTCTGAATTATAATTACAAACCTTGTTCCCCTTATCAACTGAAGCTATACAGAAGTATTCTTCAAACTTTCTTTGTCTTCTTCTCCGTGAACTGCTAATAGCCTATCCTTTGCTCCGTCTTCACTTCTAATAGATTTCCGTTTGCTTCTACTGTGTTGCGCCCGTTGCGCCTCCCTACTTGGCTACGGTTGCTATGACGCTATCAAAATAAAAGCCCGTATACCTTTGCCGTTGTTAAACATAAAGAAATAGTTCACCTTTACACTCCCACCAAATTATTTACTATTGAACATATAAACACAAATAATTTTTCCATAACAATAACAGTAGCTTAACAGATACTTTGTATAAAATTCAAAAACAAAAAATGAATAAATAAAACATTTTCCAACACTTTAAAGCATTGTAGATTCAAACATTACAGTCTTCTAACAACAAGACCAACTTATGAACAGGGCGTTCTACCACAGACATTTTGCTGACACGTTGGCCCTTATTGTTTAGATTTTTGTCTGCAGAGGCTATTTTGACCTTTCTGACAAGTCCATCAGTGTCCTGCACAGTGTCCACGATTTGACCAAGTTTCCATTGAGAGCGTGGTAGCATGTCATCTTTGTCCATCACTATGTCTCCAATTTGCATGTTTTACAGCTTGAGTGTTTAGGGTCTGCACCTTTCTCACCTCTGGGTCTCCTACTGGGAGCTCGATAGTCTTTCTTGTTGGAAGCTGTATTTCTCCTTTCCACAGAAACTGAGGGCCGGTGAGCCAGTTGGATGAAAGCAGTTCCTTTACAGAAGTGCCCCTGGAAGCCATGTCGGCGGGATTTTCATCAGTAGGTACATGAAACCATTGTTGCGGTGAAGTGTGGCTCCGTATTTTCTGCACTCTATTCGCAACAAACGTGTGGAAGCGCCTTGCCTCATTATTTATGTATCCTAAAGTGACCTTTGAATCTGTCCAAAAGAACTCTTCTACATCATCGTAGAGCAGCTCCTCCTTTAGCATTTTGCTCACTGTGACTGATACTGTGGCTGCGGTGAGTTCCAACCTGGGTATAGTGGTGACCTTTGTGGGTGAGACACGTGCTTTGCCCATGACAAAGGCACAATGAACTTCTTTGTTTTTGTTTGTGAGTCTAAGATAGGTACATTGGCCGTATCCTGCGGTGCTTGCATCTGAAAAGTGATGTAATTCTCCTTTGATCACTTCTCCAAATTCTGCAGGAGCATAACATCTGTTTATCTGGACGTTCTTTAAATTTTGCAGGTCTCCTTTCCAGCACTCCCACCGTGGCCTGAGGTGGTCTGGTATTGGGTCGTCCCAGTCTGTTCCTTGACGGCACATTTCTTGGAGAATTCCCTTGCCGTTGAGCACATAAGGAGCTAAAAATCCGAGGGGATCATATATTGCTGCAACTGCTGATAGGATGCCCCGCCTGGTTGGGGGTTGGTCCTTCAGCATGATGTTGAACGTAAAGCAGTCTTTCTCTACATTCCAATAAATGCCAAGGGCTCTTTCTGTTTGTGCCTCTTTGAATGTCAAGTCCTTTGTTTTTGTATCTGTTGCCAGCTCTGATGTTGGGATGCTGTTTAAAACATCAGTGTTGTTGGATACAAACTTATGCAGCCTTAATCCACCCTTTGCACATAGCTCACGTGCTTCCTTTACTAGTTGAATAGCATCCTCAGTTTTTTGTACGCTGGTGACTCCGTCATCTACATAGAAGTCCCTGGTTATGAACTGTGAGCCTACAGGATATGCAGATCTGTTTTTCTTAGCCAGATGTTTGAGTCCATAGTTCGCACACCCTGGGGATGAAGCAGCGCCAAAAAGGTGGACTGTCATCCTGTATGCTTGTGGCTGGCTGTTAACGTCACCATCTTTCCACCATAAGAAGCGCAAATAGTTGCGATCATCTTCCTTAACCTGAAACTGGTGGAACATTTTTTCAATGTCGCACATTAGAGCGACTTTATGCTGTCTGAAGCGCACCAAAACACCAGTTAAACTGTTGATCATGTCAGGGCCATTTAGTAAATGATCATTAAGGCAGGTACCATTGTGTTTAGCTGAACAGTCAAAAACTATGCGCAACCTGTCAGGTTTCTTTGGATGATAAACACCGTGGTGAGGTATATACCATGTCTCACCAGGTGGTCCAATATCGTCAGTTTCTTCTGCATCACCTCTTTTGATCATTTCATTCATGAATTTCATGTAATCCTCCTTGTATTTTTGATCCTTCATGAGTTTGCGTTTCAGTTGACTTAGTCTGCTTTCAGCAAGTTGTCTGTTAGTTGGCATTTGTGGTCTTTTCCTGAACGGCAATGGCATTTCATAATTTCCCTTTTTCGTTTGTACTATGCCTTCCTCAAGTTTTTGGAGGAATAATAGATCCTCTTGTGACACAGTCTTTTCATTTCTTTCAGCGTCTTTAAAGTCTCTTTCCAATACACGTATTGCGTCTGCTGGAGTGGAAGGAGGAACCTCTTTAACGGTGCATCTGTGACAAAGCCTGGTTGTCATGTCTGTTTTCTCTTCGGGGTCTGAGTTGCCAACAATGCTCCATCCCAAATCAGTCCGAAGAGCATAAGGTTCATTATCTTTTCCTAAGATTACTTGTTTAGGTGCTAGAGCTCTAGGACAAGTATAACCTATGAGGAGACTTATCTCACAACTGAGAAGTGGAGGGATTTCATCTGCAATGGGCAGCAAGTGACTCCACTGTTTGGCTGTTTCACATGTGGGTATGTGTTCTCTGTTAGCAGGGATGCAGTCCTTTGAATATGCCGTAGGAAGCTTTATGACTGTGGCTGAGTTATAGCCTCTCACCAAGAGATCAGACACCCTTTCACTGCTTACAACTGCATTTTTTCCCATCATGGTAGTCAGTTTTAGCTTTACTGGGCAAACATCTGCCTGCAGCTCATGTGTTACATCCTGATCAATGAAGACAGCATCACTCTGCGTGTCTAATAGCGCATAAACCAGTTTTTCTTTGAGTGGGTTGTTGGCAGTTGACAGCCACACTGGAACTATCATTGATGTGCTGATTGTGTGTTCAGGTCTGGTAACATTGAGTGACATAGCCGTCGCTGCTGCAGGTGAGTTAACTTGAGTTCCATTATTTACACTCACATGTGTCTCCTTTTGTAGGCTGTTCCAATAATTGTCGTCATGAAGACAGGTAGGATGCCTCTTTGAGCAGGTGTCACAACTGAAGCGGTGTTTGCAGTCTTTGGCATTGTGACCTTGTTTTAGACAACCATAACAAAGTTTATTCTCCTTCACAAACTTTCTTCTGTTTTCTAGAGACAGTTTTAAGAAGTCTGGACACTTGTGGAGTGGATGTTCAATCTGACACAGAACACATGAAAAATCCTTTGATGTTATTATTATTGACTGTGTGTTACTTTGTTCCGTTGAATTTGTCTTAAAAACACTTGCTTTGTTCCCTTTTCGTTCTCTTGTGTTTCCTTTGTCGCTGTTAGTTTCAGAGTAACGAAGGGCATGAATGGAGGTGAATGGGTTACATGCAACTTCAGCTTCAACAGAGAGAAAGGATGCAAAGTCACTAAAACTTGGAAACTCACCACCTTCCATTAAAGTCTTTGTTACCTGTCTGTTCCATCTTGCATTTATCCAATCTGGTAGTTTGTGCAGTAGTTTTTGATTTTCCTCGCAGTCGTTAAGTATTTGCAAACCCTTTACATGAGGCATAGCGAGCATGCATGCATTTAGGAAGTCCGCAAAAGTTCTTAATCCATCAGCATCTCTGGACTGCACCTTTGGCCAGTTTGATAGCTTCTCTCTGAATGATTTCTGTATAATAAAGGGCTGGCCGTATCTTTGGTTTAACTTGTCCCAAGCATCCTTATATGCGGCTTCATCACTCCTAAAGAAAGTCCCTTCAATGCATTTGCGAGCTGACCCTGTTACATATCTCTTCAAATAGTACAGTTTATCTGCTGCTGAGATGCCCCTTTGATCAATCAGTGATGTAAATGTGGATTTCCATTCAATGAAATGCATTGGGTCGCCACTAAAAACTGTTGGTTCTGGCGTAGGAAGTTTGTTTAATCTTATGCTGTCTTGAACTGCCTGTGCTAGCTGGGTAACACTGGAGGGAGCTTCCTGCACTGCTGGTGCCAACTCAGTAACAGTAGGGGGGGCTGTCTGCACAGAACCAAAGGAGACTGCTGGTAACGGCTGTTTAGGTGTGATGTTTGGGCTCACCTTTTCATCTGTAATTGACTGTACATCACCCACTTGTAGTAAATGCCTGTCATATGCTTCAAATCTGGCTCGAGCTGCTTTCACATCCCTTTGTGCTCTCAGGCGTTCTAACTCTGCATTTTGAACTGCCACCTGTTTTTTATGCTCTTCCTCTAGAGCCCTTATTTTTTCTTGTTGTCTTTGTTCCTCCAGCGCGACCTCATACTCAACCTCCTTTGCTGCTAGTTCTGCTGCTGCTTCAGCTCGTTTTGCTGTAAGATGGGAAGCTGAGGATCGCTGGCTGCGATTTGATGCTGCAGTTGATCCATATATGGAAATGGCGTATTCATGCTCTAAAAGTTCACGTAAACGAGCTTTTTCACGATCTGCATCAAAATCTCCATCAACACCACTTATTCTTTCCAGAATTATCCCTATGATCTCCTTAGTTACTGCTTCACATGCATCGATCTTTCTCCTTACGTCAGATGATGGTGCCATTTGGGTTCTATTTTCTGAATATAACTTTAATATATCATCTCTCCTTTCTTCTATTATGTCAGCAAGTTCTGACATCTCCTTCACTGTTATATCTTCCTTTAATTTTTCTCTTTTTTCACGTGCCTGTGCTTTCCATTGCTCATAAAGGACAAGCATTCTTTTTTCCTTTTTGATCATTTCTTCCCGTAGATATATTATCATTTTTTCTGTTTGTACTTTAACTCTTTCAGAGCGTCTTGGCAGATCTGACGTGTTTTGAATTTTATCTTGAAGTTCACTTATCATTTGTTCTTTGCATTTGATTGAATCTTTAATGTCCTGTCTCGCATTACTTTCATCCTGAAGTGAGTCCTTTAGGTCTTGAATTTCCCTTTGCAGAGTTGTCATCTGTTCAGTTAGGGCCCTTTGACTTACTGTTGCAGCCTGTAAGTCTTCCATTTTACTTTGCCTTGATCCGTTTCAATTCCTGACCAACTTCTGCCCTCTGCTGGACGTTGCGGGTACTGCCGTTGAACCTTGAAACCACACCGTGCGGCAAGAGGGGGCGGTCAAGCTCTTACTGTAGCATTCAGTCAATATCGAGAAGGCCGGAACTGATGGTGAATGATGATTTATTGAGCCGTCCGTATCATCAACCAACCAACGTAAGAGCTAGGCATAAACAAAAAATAAATAAATCATAAAATAAACCATAATGCATAACTGATTACATTGGTAGTCGTTTTCACAATTAATACAATCATATAGACACGTTCCGTTTTCATAACAACATTCTGAATTATAATTACAAACCTTGTTCCCCTTATCAACTGAAGCTATACAGAAGTATTCTTCAAACTTTCTTTGTCTTCTTCTCCGTGAACTGCTAATAGCCTATCCTTTGCTCCGTCTTCACTTCTAATAGATTTCCGTTTGCTTCTACTGTGTTGCGCCCGTTGCGCCTCCCTACTTGGCTACGGTTGCTATGACGCTATCAAAATAAAAGCCCGTATACCTTTGCCGTTGTTAAACATAAAGAAATAGTTCACCTTTACAGTAATAATGTAATTCTTGTGATGTTTCTATATCTAAATGTCCTCCTAAAACAATAAAAAAGGTACAGTAAAAACATTCCTGTTCATTTTTTCAAGCTTATTTATCATTTTTGAAAATTGCGTAAAAGGATGTAATCTCACTCAGTTTAACCAACCTTTATTCGAGGTTGTTTAGTCTTCATAATGGACAATAAATTCTGTGAATTTGGAAATATTTTCTCTTGATTGCCTAAGGGAAACAGATTATTTCAGAGGAACATAATTTCCCATAACACCTGTTTCACATGGATGAAAGTAGCTCTGTAAACAAGCTTGCTACCAACTAACGGATATTGAAAAAGAAAGAAAGAAAACAACCTTTTATGGAGCGATCACTGGCAGCGCCCTGGCTGGTGAAACAACGTGGAGATCAAGTAAACATTGCTGACTTTTAGCCACCAGGTAGTCATGGCCGTGAGCCACGGCTGGCAAGCCAGGGACATGCTGTGTATGCTGTTTGTAAACACGGATTACCAGCCGAAGGAGACCCATGTCCAAAGTTAACTTTTGAGAAGAAGGACGTCATCTCTGTAACACAGGGAGAACTACATCACTGTTAGTAATGTGTTTGTGGAAATCACGTAAACAACGCTGATTTAGCCACTGGCTTGTAGACGAATGCAGGAGTGAGTTGGAAGAGAGATGGCAGGCTGCAAGAACAAATAGAACGAACGCACAAAAGAGAGAAGAATTGAGTTGAAATAATTGGAACTGACACGTTGGGACTGGATCGGGAGTTCTGGTACGAAGATGAATGAGCAACCATGGGCGTCGCACCCATGGGGGATGTGGGGGATGCAACACCCCCACTTTTCTTATTGAGATCGTTCAACTGACACCCTCACTTTTCCAGCTGTTTTGCTCACCTCCACACCAGTCTGGTCTCTACTTCACAGTCTGTTTGCCTCAGGTTTCAGTTTCAAGCAGCAGCAGGAGAGGGAGGGAGGGAAGAGCCCAAGGGCTTCCAGGGGCTCATCCCTCCCTCCCTCTCCTGCTGCTCTGACACAACCGGCTTTCAACCAATCGATTTGCTTCCCACCAAAAATCCCGCCTGTTTGGTCATAGTCATCTTCACTGTCCAACATTCGGCTTGTTGTGGTGAAAATACACCAGGTATGTACCTACACAGAAAAGGCTTACACATATTTTATCTTAATATTTTAGCAGATATTACCAAACAAAACATTTCCTCAGTCATATTAGGAAGGTCCATGTCGAAATCAAATTTTTATTTACCTATTTCTCACTCAGTATAACAAAGATGCAGAAAAGAAAAAGGCAGGAAGGATTGACAACTTTTTCAAGAAAAATAATGTAAGGTAAATTACTGTAAAATCTAAAATCATATTTAAATAGAGAAATAAAACAATTATTTTAGATAAATTTTGTTTAAACTGAGCCAAAATGATTTAATTAGTTTGAGTCCACTCTTCACCATTGAACCTTTCTGGTTTAGCAGGAGGCATCAGTTTCAGGGAGAGCACAAGAAGGTTCAGAGAGGGTTCATGAAGGTTCACAGGTAAGCAATGAAATAAACATAGGTTTAAGCTGTTGCAATTTAGGCCCTGTCCACACGTAGCCGGGGATCTGCCAAAACGTAGATATTTTTCTACATTTTGGCCTGTCATCCACACGAAAACAGAGTTTTTTCACACGAAAACTGATCTTTTTAAAAACTCCGGCCAAAGTGAAGATCTGCGTTTTCTCCGTTTTGGCTGTCTGCGTGTGGACAGACAAAACCGGAGTTTTAAGGTCCGCAACGTCACTTTCCGCGACAAAAAAATGCTGACATCACGTGTGTGACCTGTGTTTACACTAGCCGACAGCATGGATGCCCTCAGAGCTGCGCTCGCTTTATCAATTGTCCAAGCGCTTTTTGCTTGTTTGTTTTTGCAAGCGGAATTACTGCTCCTTGCGGAAGACCACAGACGATGAACGAGGTCAAGAACGGGGAAAGTACTGCCACCTAAAGGTCTGGCATGTCCTTAACAACGCATTCATCCGGGTACGTGTGGACAGAGGTTTTTTTTTTTAAAAAGAGGTGGTGTGGATGCAAGTTTTTAGAGGGGCGGATATTCGTTTTAAAAAAAACCCGGCTACGTGTGGACTAGGCCTAAGTCTCAGTTTGTAAAATAATTCAGTTAAGGCAGTCTCTTTCTCTCTCTCTCTCTCTCTCTCTGTGTGTGTGTGTGTGTGTGTGTGTGACATTTGTGCTGATTATTTCCATCCCAGAAGCATGTGTACATGTTTATAATGACTCTATTTTAATTTTAAATGTTAGGCGGTATTTGAAGATGTGGCCAGGAGTGACGACGACAGAGAGGCGGACAAAGGGAAAGGCAGACATGAGGAGGGAAGAAAAAAAGAACAGAGTGAGAGAGACAATAAAGATGATGAAGATTGTAAAGATAAGAGAGAAGCAGATATTTCAGAAATAACTGTTCCTTGCTATCAATTCATTAGTCCCAACCAACCAGATCCAAAGTGTATTGTTAAACAGATCTTGCCCAAATATATTTTAAGCTTTCAAAGTCAGTGGTACCAAAAATTCACATGGCTCCATGCGAGCCCTGGTGTTGAGGGTGTGTTGTGCTTTTATTGTTTAAAAGCCTTTAATTCTCACCCCGGCTTTCCACGGGAGCCGTCAGCAGCACGTTACTGCAGCAGCACGTTATAGCTGCTGATAGGAACCGCTGTGGTCAACAGAACCTTTTCCACTGGAGCCATCAGCAGCGCGAGTCAGTCGCGTCTCAGGAGCAGCAAGTCGCGGCCTTTACGCGCTGGTTCTATTTTCTACGTGCGACGCCTCTGAAACGGGTCAAGATCGACATTTTTGGGGAAGGAAAGACAGGATATCGGACTCGGAAATGGAGAGAAGCTCCCGAGATTTTCAGAATAAAGAAACGTACTGCCTTCCGGTTGCTTTACTTTTAAAAAAGGTTACTAACTGTGCGGCCCCGTGAGAAGTTATCACCTAGCTAGCGGTCTCCTTTGTTTTTCAGGTCCGTATTGGCGATTATAAAACGGACAGAACATAAAACACAAACCATGTTGTAATTTTCTCCTGCTTGTTGTTATGTTTACTGACAAAGTCACTCGTGTGACTTCGTGCTCGGTCGGTGACAGCTGCTCCCCTGCTGCTTCGCGTCTCGTGGGAAGGGCCAAGCAGAAGCTAACGCGAGCAAGACGTGCTGCTGCAGTAACGTGCTGCTGACGGCTCCCGTGGAAACCCGGGGTCAGACATCACCCCAAGCCAAGAATGCAGATTCAGCATTCTTGTCATCAGGGTTTAAAAATTGGAAAAAAGCCCAGGAACGATTTACGGTGCATGAAAGATGTGCTAGTCATAAGACCGCCATGACCATGCACATCTATGAAAATTAGTCTGTACAGCTTCAGCTCTCTAATGCGAGTTCAAAACAGCAAGAGGAAGCGAGGGAATGTCTTTTCAAAATCATTGGTGCTGTGCAGATGTTGGCCAGGCAAGGTTTACCTCTCAGGGGTCATGAAGGTGGTGAGGGGAATTTTGAACAGCTTCTGAAGTACAAGTCAGAGGATGACCTTTCTTTAGACAAGTGGTTGACAAGTGGAAGATAAGACTTGCATACTTCAGGTGTTGTTCAGAATGATATCTTGACTTTGTTCAGCAACATATGAGAAATAGTTGAAAACATCAGCTCACTTCCACACCTGCAGTTCTCTGTGATGCTGGGTGGCACACGAGATGTGTCTGGGAAAGCACAAGAAGCAGTCTGTTTAAGATATGTGGACAAGGATTTAGTCCCTCATGAAGAATGTATTGGTCTTTATGAGGTTTCTTTGACAACCTGTGAAAACCTGGCAAAAGTAGTGTTGGATGTCTTGCAGCATCTACATTTGCCTGTCAGTGGGTTGCGTGGACAAGCATATGATGGTGCTGCAAATATGGCTGGCAAATACAATGGAGCACAAGCCATTGTAAGAAAAATTCAACCTCTTGCTCCATATGTTCATTGTGCCACCCACTGTGTTAACCTAATCACACAAAGAGCCTGCACTGCCTTCATATTCATTAGGAATGCTCTGGATTGGGTCAATGACCTGGGAGTGTTGGTTGGACAGTCAGGGTGTTGCAAGTTCCTGCGGGTCAGAAACTGTGGCGAGAAGTGAGGGTCACGGAAGGGTCACAGAGATAATGGATCAGAACTTGCTTCTGGGAGCCGAACTGGACAGAGGGTCAAGAAGTGCCTGACCCTACCAGCAGGAGAAGAGGCGGAGCTGCAGGAAACAGTCTGAAGAGAGCCTATCAGAAGACAGAAGGCCTTCATGAGGAATGCTGGACTTTGGGAAAAGACACCTAATGGCCTGTGTTCAGCTGAAAAGCTGTCCTGAAGAATGTGTTGAACTAAAAAAGTGTGTATCTAGTAGATGATCCCATGACCTTATTGTCATGGGATAAATGATATATGTGTAACTAGAACTTTTAACCTTGTCTAGGCTGTCTCAAAAAAGAGTATAAAAAGGGGCAGCAGAGAGGAGCAAGGGGCAGAGGTAGCAGGAGTTAGTGAGCGTGTGTTAGAGGGCATTAGCCTGAAGAAAAGAAGATTTAGGGTTGGTGTAAGCTAACTCATTATTCTTAGTTAATTATTAGGATTAATTACTCCGTGGGGGTAGTGATCAGTTTTATATCTACTCATTTTTTGTATTTTTTAATCTTGTAATAAACTTTTTGAAAAAGAATCCACACTCCTGATTCTTCCAGGTCCTTTTTAAAAGGTTAAGGTGGGAGCCTCGACCCATCATAAGGAGGGGTAAGCACATTAATTACAGGCTCCTGAATTATCAGGATTTGCTTTACGGTTTGTGACAGATTAATAAAAAGAAACCTTAAGATAAAGAAGCTAGTCTTCTCCTCTCCCGCGAGTAACGAGATGTCTTAAGGATGATAAGCCAAAACATTAGTAGGTTAATTTAGGCTCT